AGTTGATTTCATGATCATTCTACCGGAATGCAAATTTCGCCAAGCGAAAGGTCAGGAGCTAAGAAGGCCTAATATGCATGTAATTCTCGTGCGGCTGTCTTTGTGTCTGACGCTAAGGAGGCCTAATATGCATGTAATTCTCGTGCGGCTGTCTTTGTGTTTGACGTCAGTGGGAGGGAACTATTGAAATTGACATGTGAGGCCTCGTGTAATTTAAATCTATTAGTCTACATTTTTAAAATCTAAATTTACAATTTTATTTCACAATGAAATGGAAATATAAGGAATCACTGTCTAGTTAGTAGAGTATGCCAGGGACATCAACGATAGTTGGAAACGTGGGATAATTTATGACATAACGGGCTTCGCCAGTGATTCTTTAAGTATTTCTGATCAAATTTCTGAAAACGTTGTAAAATTTGGAAACGTTAACTTGAAAACTATGTTATTGCGTAATAACAAAAGCTATTGTAACAATCAAATGTTGCCGGAGTGACAGATGGACGGGCAGACGGACCCCAAAATTAATAGGTAACTTTTTCTTTTGGTAAATTCTTTGAATTTGAAATTTTAAATAGTATTAATGAAAACTGTTAATGTTTGAGTTATCGTTTTACGATGTTTACATATATAAACATACATACAAACAAACAGACAAAGCAATATGATCCAAAAATTTATAGAAGTTTCCTTCTTAGAGTAACTAACCTCTGTACAAAATTCGGAAACGCTACCGTAAAAACTATTTAAGTTATCTCGTATGATGACCAGACGGACAATGTGATTACTATTGGGCTCCCGCATTTCATGCGCGATCTAAAATATACATACATCTGTAATTTATTCTTGTAAGATATTATCTTCATTGCTCAATTGACTCACAGACTGAAAATTTAGAAAAGACATTTTCTTAAAAGGGCATTTATAAATAGTCCGGGTTTTTTTTCTCAAAAAAAAAATATATATATTTTAATTAAAGTTGGTAATATTTATCTGCGTTTAATAGCTGCATTGTACGTACATTGTATAGAAGGAAAACGGTAGTATTAAATACTCAATCTGCTTAAAACAGTTTCAAATATAAGTGATAGATGTATCTTGGAAAAGATAAGTGTTTTTGTCTCTAATAGATGTTGACAGAAACCATAAAACTAATTTAATTTTTTTTTAATTTCTTTATTTAAAAAAGACTTAATCGTATTAATTCATTACTATACTGCGTTCACTTAATTATCTTAAAAGCTAAGAAGAAATCGAATCAAGTCTCTCAAACAGAAATTTGTACTTGAAATTGATTTTCAGTAGTTTTTAGTAATTTGATGTTATATACATGTACCATCTAAAATACAATTACAACTGTAACACTAAAGTTTTACAAGAGTAGATTTTGTCGCTTTACATTTTTGAAATTGTATTACAGTAAAAAAAAGAAAAAAATCCCGTTCATGTATATTGGCGGAGGAAAGGGTAAAATAGACGTTTATACAAAACGAGCAATTTACAAAAACATACTGAAATATAAAACAAACAGCTTAAAATAAAACCAACAGACTCCGCTGCAAAACAATTAGTAACTTAATTGACGTTAGATGGCGTGCAAATCTAGAATAATTTTAAAAGGTGGTCAACAGGCTGAAATGTAGTACATGTAGGAAGTTCACATGCCTCATTTTCATTGATAATAATAAAAATAGATGACATGATGGAGATACCTGTTGGGTACAGAATAAATGCTAAATATCTTAAGTTTAAAATGATATGAATTAAGGTGGATTTCAAGTATACATTATTTATAGAAACGTGTATTGAGCTGGGGATTATTTTGGTTTGTTTACAATGTTTTAAGCCGTCCAAGTTCTATTCTGAGGACATGACGCCAGAAGCTTATTAATAACCAGGGACGCCACCTTTGAACACCCCTATTTTTGGATATGAATATTCAAGCTGACATATCATTTTAATTTCAAAAAGATACAAGCCAAGTAAAACATATTTTTATTATATAAGTCTATATTTTAGCTAATAGTGTCTGGGTATTTGAGACATTGCGCGAGACTGTAAATTATAGAAACCATATGTATACATGTTTAATTCATGTGTAACAACCCCCCCCCCCCTTTTCCTAGTCCCACACTTTTTTCACAAACATAACGTTTCACTGTTAATTTATTATGAAAATATTCAATGGAAAGGCCGGTTACACCCCTCTTTTTAGTAAAGTTAATGTTTTAAATTTTATTTTGACTTCGTCTTATGCAAGAGATAATTTGATTTCTAGAATGCTATATACGTAATGATTGAAAAAGAATAGTTTTAAAACGCTTTTCTATCGTTTCAATATGTGGAAAAATTCTACGCGATAAAACGACGTAACGATGCTGATCCAGGTCAATGGACAATTTATAATTTAACTGGGACTTTTCTAATGATCCTATTAACTTGAAATTTTGCATAATTGCTTTATTTGTTCTTGATAAAATGTTGACGAATTTTCACGAATTTATCTTTCCGTTGTGGAGTAAAAGTAAATCGAACACCCCTTGCATTTCATAGGCTCTTAACAGATTATCTTAATTCATTTTAAAATATAAAACAAAGCAAATAAGAGGTTTATCACAAATTCAGCATTTTTATTTTACACCAATCAAATTACACAAGTTATTTTCTATTCGGCACTTCTTTCATAACAAACAAAAATGTCCACCGTAACCGATAATAATTAAAAGACAATTTTTGTATTTTATCTGTTTACTTGCATTTTCTTATTTTTTCCAATACAACTCATATGGAAACATTCTACAAGGTAGGAAGACCTAAAAATGTTCAGTGTGCATTTAGTCTGCTATTTTTAATTAATTGATTAATTGATTAATTTATTTATTTATTCATTTATTTTCAATTTATTAATTTTCAATTTATTTAATTTTTATCCACTTTAATTTCAGAGCAAAACATATATGGACCCCCCCCCCCTTAAAGAGAGAGAGAGAGAGATAGAAAAGCCTCCGATTGTTCTTTTCTCTGAAAAATTTTGTTTCTGCTTTTAATTTTAAACACGCTATATTAAAGATCCCTTCCTCAAAGCTTACGGCAATATCAAAGATAATGGTTAATTGCGCTTTTGATTGAGTTCAGTCTAAATCTAGATTGGAGAAAATGAGTCAAATTTATTCGGATAGGAATGAGAACAGACATGTGCATTTTTACATGTACATTTTTAGTTTAAATTAAAATATATGAAAAATGTCGTTTAATATAAAAGATATACTATTTCTGTATTTCAAAAAACTCTGTAGGATTCAAGGTTTACAAACAACCGAAATGGAGCCGCCTCATCTTCGCAGCACTCAAAATTTTGTATATGTTACTTGACTGATTCCATGACAAACTCAAGTACAAGTGCCCCAGATTTCTTTGAAGTATTTTATCATTAATTTTAATCAGTAGTTTCCCCTAGCACTATACGAGAATATAAGTAAACATAACAAACTCGGAAAGTTAGTTTTGTTTGCTTTTTTCGGGGGGAGGGGGGTCATATCAACAAAGAACGACGAATATGGGTTTGTTCCAGCAATCAGCCAAAAAATGTGGGTTGTCAGTGGGGGAAGAACGTTTTGGGAAGGATCGGGTTAAATGATTTGTTTTCGTTTTGAATTTCAACTAGATATAATATTTTCTTAGACTACGCTGTTGGTGTTAAAGCGTAATGCTATATAATGATGAATTTTATATTTCAGGAATTGACAGATCGCAAGTCTAACAAATCATTATTATAATGTTGTGCATTGACATAGTTTTCTTTTAAATTTTGCATAAAATAATTAAACAATGTGTGATAGTACATTTGCAAAATTATAAATTTTATAATTTACAAATTAAGCATCAATTACATTAACCATTCAGCGTTAATTCAGATGGCTGTTTTTTGCACGCCATCTAGCGTCAACCCAAGTGTAACGGACAGTACAGTTGTATATAGGGAACTTATACTGCCTCGCTAGTGAGCTAGCTTTTTAAGTGATGCGGTAGAGTCTCCCTCTATTTCAGGCAAGTTAAGCAACGGCGAGCCTGTATAACCCTTAGATGGGTGGACTGCTTCACCTTACACACTTGATGATTGTTTTGCATCGGCGATCGTTCGTTTTGCAGCGGATTCTGTTGATTTCTTTTTCAGGCGTTTGTTTTGTATTTCAGTATGTTTTTGCAAATTAATTGTTCGTTTTGTGTAGACGTCTTTTATACTCTTTCCGCCGCCAGTTCATATACATTTCTACATTCATACAAATTTGAATTTGGAATGTCTGAGAATAAGCTCATACTAGCAAATAAAATAAAGTATTGCATAAAAATGTTGAATGCTTCAATAAATGCACAGCCTTTGAATTATTGAAGATTACGTGGATCAGTCATGATGAATATGAAACTTTGTATTTTAAATCAGTCATATCTTCTTCATTCACGTTTCTTGCAGGGATTTAATTAGACAAAAATAAGATTTCATTGCTCTAACTAATATGTCGGCGAAAGTTTTATACCAACATTCGGTATGGAATTGCATCAGACTTCCATTTAGACATATTTCAAAATAAAAATGCCTTGTCATTTGTCCCTACCCCTCCATAATTGAATACATAACATTATACAATATGAACTTATAAATCAGAACGTGGTGAAAAAAATTAATTTTTCTCTTTGCAAAATGTTTTCATTTTTCATCTTTAAACACTGTTTTAGATTTTGGTAAATGTACAAATGTCTGGTGTGTTGAAGACTTTTTAAAGATTTTGACAAATTTGATTTTTTTTAAATTGCCAAAACATTCATGGATAGCTATAGTTGTCGAACCATACATTTTAGATAATGACTATTTCAGTTCGCAAAATAGCTTTAAAAAAATGTTTGTTAAAAGGCAGCTCGAGTTACAATTAAAAAGGCATCACAATACGAAATGAAACATTAAATCTTTACAAATAAAAGCTAATACTTCCAAAAAAACCTACCGCAAAAAATGAGAAGACGCCACCCAAAGAGAAATTCATCCTTTACCGTTCTTCTGTATATAGTAAAATCGTTAGCTGTTAGAGTATGCAATGCTAAGTAAGCAAATGGCTGACAAACCAATACATCCTTACAAGTCTGCATCTGACGCGTTCTTTTAAACTGGCAATCGGTTATCGCAGCTGTTGCTTAGGCAGCTAATTTTATTCCTGTTTTCAATATGTAACCGTATACAGCTAAATAGATGACAGTTACATACTCGCAATTCTAACCGTATCTCCATTCTCCACGCTTCTGAACTTTACCCCTGACTTGACATAAGTACAATTTTTACATTTATATGTTAACATTTTGAAATTATGTATGAGCTTTTAATTTGTGAATTGCTTGAAATAATACTGTTTAATAATCATGTAATTATACCCGCACTTTCTAAAAAACGTTCGTGTATATTGTTGTTACTCATGTCCGTCCGTCCGTCCGTCTGTCATACTTTCTTCTTAATCTAACTACTCCTACATTTTAAGCAGAATTCAATTAATCTTTTGGAATATGATAGGTGGTGTCCTATAGATGTGAAATAAGGTTTTGGAATTTTCAAATTTAACCCTGGGGGCAAAACGGGGGTCAAAACATGACGTTTTTTCTACAAAAGCCTGGTTCCCAGAACTCCTCTTACAATTAACGCAGTAGCCTAATCATCTTTTAGAAGATGATTGGTGGTGTCATGTAGATGTCCAATAAGGTTTCGGAATTTTCATTTTCACCCTGGGGGTGGAAAATGATGTTTTTCTACTAACCTCTTGTTCCCAGAACTCCTCTTACATTTTATGCAGTAGCTTAATCATCTTTTGGAAGATAATTGGTAGTGTCCTGTAAATGTGCAATAAGGTTTTGGAATTTTCATTTTCAACCTGGGGGTCAAATGAGGGTCCAAAGATGACGTTTTTATACAAAAAACCCTGGTTCACAGAACTCCTCTTACATTTTATGCAGTAGCCTAATCATCTTTCGGAAGATGATTGGTGGTGTCCTGTAGATGTGCAATAAGGTTTTGGAATTTTCATTTTCACACTAGGGGGTCAAATGGGGGTCGAAAAATGACGTGTTTTTTTTTTTTTAATAAAAGAAGACCCTAGTTCCCAGAACTCCTCTTACATTTTATGCAGTAGCCTTATCACCTTTCGGAAGATGATTGATGGTGTCCTGTAGATGTGCAATAAGGTTTCGGAATTTTCATTTTCACCGTAGGGGTCAAATGGGGGTCGGAAAATGACTTTTTTTTTTTATACAAAAAGACCCTGGTTCCTAGAAGTCCTCTTACATTTTATGCAGTAGCCTTATCATCTTATGGAAGATGATTGGTGGTGTCCTGTAAATGTTCAATAAGGTTTCGGAATTTTCATTTTCACCCTGGGGGTCAAACGGGGTGGGGGGGGTGGGGGGGGCAATGACGTTTAAAGTCTTAATGTCAAACATAAATGAAATGGTCCGGTTGTCTTTTTTCTGAATTTGACCTTTAATGAAGAAAGGGTCAAGGTAAAAAAAATTGTTGCCGAAAATCTTGTGTCAGTGTCTTATAACCATGTTCCAAATTTGAATTCATAATGCCAAAGGATTCTTAGATTATGCCCTGAATTATATTTTCATGTAAAAGATTGACCTTGACTTTATAAATGGGTCAAGGTAAAAAAAAATTGCTGGCATGCACCCTTTCTCCGTACCACCTCTCCATGTTCCAAGATTGAAGTTTTAATGTCAAAGGGTTCTAAAGTTATGGTTTGGAGGTGTTTTTTCTCAATTTGACCTTGAATGAAGAAAGGAGTCAAGGTCAAAATTTTGGTGCAGTGCATCTTGTGTAAATGTCTTCCTTCTATGTTACAAGTTTGAAATCCTAACGTCAAAGGGTTCTCAGGTTATAGCCTGGACTATATTTTGATGTATAAAGATTGACCTTGACTTTATCAAAAGGACAAGTTCAAAAACATTTGGTGGCTTCAATCCCACCTCCATACCACCTCTCCATGTTCCAAGTTTGAAATCTTAATGTCAAAGGGTTGTCGAGTTACGGCTAAGACAAAAATTGATTGAAGAAGAAAACTGACAAAAACAATATGTAGACTAGTATAGTCTACTTGTAGCATCAAAACTGTAGAAGGAGTAGAAATTGAAAGAAGAACAAATTTGTTTCTACATTATGTAATGAAACTGTCACATAAGATTCAAACTTTTCTTGCCCAGTGGTTCTTGAGAAGAAGATTTTTGAAGATTTTTTTTTCTTATACAGTAAAGTATGCTTATAGCCAACACGCTTATAATAAACTGACGCTTTCAGCGAAGCAAATTTCATTCCTCATGACTTTAAAACATAATGTAAACTTAATTGACATGAGCAATTACACTTATAACGAAACAAAATCGTCCGTCCCAGGCACTTAGTTATAAGAGTGTTTTACTGTACATTCCCATATTTACAAAACTTTGATCCCATATTGTGGCCCCCATACCTCTGAAGGTCATGATTAGGACAATGTTGAATCTACACTTACTGATGAAGTTTCACATAATTTTTAACTTTTTTCGCCTAGTGGTTCTTGAGAAAAAGATTTTTGAAATACCATTAAATTTTCACTCATTTGACCCTTCATTTGTGAATAATTGTTTTACACAAGAAAAAATATTTAACACGAGAAATAAAACTCTTTGTGTTTCAAAATATTTCATTACACCTCTAGTGTGTTTCTTATTATTAAATTAACTAAGATAATGTTGATTTAATCCTGAATGTTCAATTTTGTAGGGACCTATGTATGATAATTATACTCTGAGGGGTATGTTTACCTGTCTTCAACAAGTCAGGTGATTGTTCACAGTGAGTACTTTTCAACAATTTAGTTTATAGCTGCCTACTCAAAACATGAGGACTGTCGAGTTTTTTTTTAATTCTAATGGATATAAGCCAGAAACTTGCATGATCTTGAAAAATAGGAGTTCCATGTGAAATTTGTAACAAAACACGAGAAAAGACTCTTGGCTGTGTCCTTTTGTAATTAGATGTAGATCAAAAACAAGATAGTGAGTAAACTTATTTTTTATATTTCTGGAAGAGATATTATTCTAGCTGCAGTATGAGTAAATTAGTGTAAAAGTCAATCAATTTAAAAAAAAATCACAAAATTCCATTTCAATTTTTGGCCCAAGTAGATGTCAGAAAGAGAGAAGGAGAGAGAGAGAGATTACCCCCAGGTATATAACCTTAAGCAAAACTTAATAAAATCGTGATCGCAAATTCTCGGAAGGATATACATTAATTAAAAAGCTTTTTTTTTCATTAGTTGTTTTCAGAACAGCTCAAAGCTAAAAATTTAGTATTTATACCATGTCAGCATAATGTGAGTTATAGCCATGTTAATAAAACTGCACATTTTTGGAAAAAAGTATGATTAAATAGCTTAATCAAGGTGTTTTAAATAGCAAAATCAAACTATGCTGGTATAATTCAACTACAGAGCTTAATCAATTTTAAGAGATTGTGCAATACCTATTTAATCCTTAACTTTTCAAAAAATATTTGTATCACCATTCCTGATTCAAGGGAGAACTAGGCATATGACCAAAAAAGTCCATACTCTATTGAATTAATAAACATGTATGTTGTCTCTTGTGAGGTCAGTAAATGAAGATGACAAGTGGGAAATGGGGTTAATATTCACAAACTGTAGGAGTTTTTAACATTTATTATTTTGACCATGCAGACATAACTCCTTTACCCCCTTTTCCCATTGAATCCCAGCACAAACCAATACCTGTTCTGACATAAACAAATTGTGAATATACAAAATTGTGCATGTACAAAAAGTTTAATGGTGGGTCTCTGAATGATTTTCAATTCTAATTCTAGGAGGGTCGGCTGACCCTAGGGTGTCAAGAATGAAATGTCAGATTATCATTGACACACTTTTGACACAGGTCCCTACTGTGGTCATTTCCGGTTTCAGGGATGGGGATGACTTCCAGGGGGTCATAACCTAAATATACCATTTAATGCATAATTAAACAAAGAAAAATATTTTCAACCATTTTCAAGATTATATATATATATATATATATATATATATATATATATATATATATATATATATATATATATATATATATATATATAGCACATTTTACAACAACTCTTAAACTAACATCACTGCCCTAAGTGAAGAAATATTAATATAATAGAAAGCACAAAGAAATTCACTTTTACAAGGATACCCACTTCCGCCCCAGCCCGGGGTTGAACTCTCGACCTACGGAATCTATCTCCTAGCAGTACAGGAACAGCGTATCTCACTTCCATTCTCAATGACCGTGTAGTGTAGGGCATCGCCGCGAGAATTCCATCGGCATCGAAAGCAAGTTTTTTTGACTTGCCTAGATAGCCGAGCGGTCTAGCGCGCTAATAAATAATAATTTTGTTAATAAAGAAAACATTGGTCATAGCGTAAAGAAGAGGTATTTTGAACTATTTTCCGAGAAATACCCAGGGGCCACTAACATGAAAAGTAGATCATTGACCTAGTTATTTGAAAGTGATTAACCCTACAATCATAATTCTAGTATGTACAAGATGTGGTTCTTCATTCTTATCAGTAGATATTTTTGCAATCCAAGTAAATATCATCTTTTAGCGATGAGCTGTCTGATTTGCATTAGAAATAGTAGTTTAATTTTGATTCACATGCTAGTACAGTGTATTTCAAAAGAAAGATTACTCTCTCAGTAACTCTCATTTATCCATAAAATGTTTAGTTTTTAATAATTTTTAATAATGTCAAATTAACATGTAATTAGTTATCATTGATTTAATTTACTAAGTAAATTACAGTAGTTTGTTTTTAATAAACGCTTATTAAAGGAAAAGTACTAATCTAAACAGTTGTTGTTTGATGATAAAATGGCTTCTTTTTAACGCATTGTAACCCTTATAACATCTCATAATATCAGGGATCCTGATTCCATCGTGGCGTAAAACCCCTGATAAAATTATTGTTTTGTGTGTGT